TCATCGAAGGATCCAATAGCAAATAACAAAATGATGTTTTCGAGTTTCCTTCTCTCCATTTTCTGCGGCCGTTCGGCGGCGACTCAAAAAATCCAACCATCAGCTGCAAATCACTCTGAATGCTAGTCAGATCCAACTTTCCAAAAATCAGTGCTTCGAGTTCGGCCGTAAATTCTAAAATGATCAAAATGATGTCATACCGTTCAGACTTCCTAGTTTATCATATCAAATTTATTTGCATTTGCACAACGAATTAGCAGGCGAAACTACAATAGAACACGGAAATGAGTAAACTAAATGTTGAGAGTACAGATGTGTGTGTATGGACAATGGCCACTGGCTTGAAACTATGCGTAGCGAAGTCAGAGGAAGTGGCCCTTCATTCAGTTCATACCAAAAATCTGCTGACCATTCATTTTAATCGATCACCAGTTACGTTAAGGTAGCAGTACTTTAATAAACAAATAAATATGAAACATAAATAGCAAGATCTCTAATGTGAAAAGGAATATGTATCGTGCAGCGTCTTTCCTGCCTAGACTTATCTGAAACAAGCTTCTTAACAGTTGATAATGTGTTGCATGTGGCCATGGTTGTTACATGCTGCGATCAGTTTTTCCAAGCCGAAGGCATGTTGAGACCGTGATTTAAACGCGTCAAGAGTCATGGATTAAATCATAAGCAACTGGATTAAAAGTTCAGTTCAAATTATATCGAAGGTGGCTGAAGATGCATCACATCTTGTTAAATGACAGTCTAATAATCTCAGTTTGTACCAATGATATACCAGTAACACTGAGTCTTTCAGATGATCCATGCTTTCGTTTGTTTTCGGATACATAATAGACTGACAGAGAGAGAAAATATCGCATTACGCAGCTCGGATAAGCGATTCCCTTTTGTCCATGATGAGATGTTCTCTCTGACAGATGTTTATATTACATTTAGAACAGATCAAAACTCATGTGCCATTAGTTGATACTAACCGGTCACTTGTCGAGGATCAAAAGACCACCAAGCAGTAAAGCAAAATGAATATCAAATCCAATCGCTAAACACGCGTTGCTCAGATTCAATCCATGAGAACGAGACATATTGACAACTAATGTTTGATACCTTGATTTTAAAACCCATTTTGGCCAAAAAACAATTATCCTCATCCGGACAAAACAGTTTTTTTCGTTGCACCTCAGGACCTATCCGAAGGGATAGCGACATAGTACAAAGTCCATGTCTTTTCGAACCTGAATGTCAAAGATGCGGATCCGAATCTTAGGGTAGCATCATTTAGCCAATTAGATTCCGTTGAGAAAAACCGTCGTTCATTAATTAAACCATTTATTCATTTAATCAGTCACGGATGCATTCATCTTCAGTTATTCCCAACTTATTAACCCACTTGTGCCTTTGTGCAATCATCCGAAAAACCGGTATCATGTCGACAAGGCGCGAACAATACGGAAAGCATTGTTCAGCTTTAGTAGTGTCATGTCAGAACGTACAGGTCCTGAGAACATACTCTCTAATGCGTCTTTTGTAAGACAATAGTTTGCCTAAATCCATGATAACTGACATAATTAGCATAAAATTTAACGCGCAAATAAACGATAAATGAAGAACTTCGAATATAAGTTATCTATGCATGCCAAAACTACAGAATATTAAAGATTCCGTTTGAAAAACATGATACACGATAAACAAATTTTCGCTAATAGTTTACCTTTGATCAAAAGGCAATAAAAACAGTAAATTGTAAACAATTTTTTACAATAAATTCTTTGTAAAAAGTAGTTCTATTTTATATGAAAACAAGCTCACTTCCTTCCGAAGCGACCATGCAGTTCCAGAAAGATGCAAGAGTCTTCTGATACAGAGTTCTGGTGGTGCTGGAAATCGGACCAACGTTGAAACCTTCCTCGCGCAGTTTTTCGCCTAGCTGCTTGTCGTTCAGCTGCTCGCACTTCTGCAGAATACTGGGATCAATCGTTCGACGATCTTCCTTGTCCTTTTTGACTATCGTCATCTCCAATTCCGCAAACGAAATCCTCTGGTTCTGGTTTGAAGTGGCTTCCTTTGAGGCAACCTTCGGAGAAGCCTGCTTCGAAGAAGCCCCAGTAACACCATCCGAGCAGAATTTCGGCTGATGCTGGTCAATAATCTCAGAATTTGTTTCACAGTTCCCAAAATTTAATGACTTGCGAGCTGAATGGAAGCTGTTCGGTCCGGCAGATATCTTCAATCTGCGCAAACGTAATTCCGGGGACTCCTGACAGGAAACCAGCTCACGATACACCCCGGCATTCCATTTCGCCAATGTCGCCGGTGAGGACTGTGCAACGTCATATGCTGACGCCGGTTTTGTCCACCAATCGATCAAACGGACACAAGAACGATGGTCGTTCGTCAATGCGTAATTATACGCCGTTTTACCATCGTTGTCGGTTAGAAACGGGTCTCCACCGTTCAGCAGCAGCAACTTCAGTATCTCAAAATTACC